TTATCGGCAAAACAACGCGAGCGTTCGCGATTGTTCTCTCGATTGACCAAACACAATGCTCCGTACTCGATCCATTATCTTATTCGTGTAACGTTCGATCATCTCCATGGAAAACTTCTTTTACCGGCCTCGTTCAATTGCGGCTTGCGGTAGCTACCGGCTACAGTTGGCCAAAGTGTAATCTGATTACTCGTTATTGATGCTGATTAGAGCGCGACGGTTGACTCGTTTACGAGTTACATCACCGTAATTTCGTCGGTTATTGCTAGAAAGGACTTCTATCTTGGAACTGTAAAAACGCACGTCGATAACCAATGAAATTACTTCATTAATTGGCGATCATTCAACATGATTTGTTGAAATGAAAATGGAATGGTTCTGTTTATATTGTCACCGCCGCGTAATTGCTAGGAAACGCTTTACAAATATGTGATCACTCGCGTCGTTAATTCCTTAATGGAACATCCAGCGACTTTCGATAAGGAGGCAAAACATTAATTTCGCATTTCTTTTTCTTCTAATTTAACGGCCAATGATACGCCTGAGTGCGCCTCGATTAAACTTAGTTTTCGTTTATTAGATTCGCGTTGGCGGAGTCGTAGGACGCTTTTGATTTCAATTCGCTCAGACTTATCTGCGAAAGTGTAAATTTGCATAAATTGCAGTCTACTCTTAAAATATATACGATCTCGGAAACAAATAATATGTGAACATAAGATAGATAATTTGTAATACGTAGACTGGCAGTTTATGTTTATAAAACAAATAATATGCATAAATTGTAATAAAAAATAATAATTTATAATTAATAATTTAAATATAGTAATAATATATATAAATTTATAATTTAATTTAATAATAATAATTTATTATAAATAAATTACAATAATACAAATAATATGCATTATAAACAAATAATAATATATAAATATATATAATAATAATTAAAACAAATAATAATACATAAAATAGATAATTTGAAACACGTAGATTGGTAGTTTATGCAAATTTACACACATTGTTGTAGATCATTTTGTAATTCTGTTGCTCTGAAACCAATACATAAATATAGAAAATGTATAAATTCATTTATTCGATCAGCGAATGCAAGCAATGCATTTTGTAGAATGACTATCACAAACATGTGACACGAATGCTTGTTCTACGGTCATTCAAATTTCAGCTGATTTTCCATACACTTTCATTTGCATATGTAGGGCAATCATCAAGCCGAATGGTCTTTAGGAGACATTTTAAGGAAGCTGCTTTTACCTCAATGTTTCCGATGACAAGCATAATCGCGGCCCACTTTTACGAATAACGTATCTTACTGGAGGTCGCGGATGACTTACTTTTCACGTAATCTTGAGGAAAGTAACTCACGGTCAGTAATGGTAAAGTGACTTTCTATCAAATCTTGATCAGCTGATTTCATTTCATGCGATCAATCAGAATCTTTGTTCGAAGTTAGTCATCTGCAGCTTTAAACAACGTTATTGCATGTCGTGTGTCCATGTAGCTTTATTGTAACAAATGAATATACTTATTGTTTCATATGTACCATTTTGATTAACAATTGTATAATATAATAACCTTTTTAACAAAAAAAATATATTAGTATTGCTTGAAAAAAAATAAAATAAAGTAAAATGAAATAAAATTACATTCAATACAAATGTATTACAAATCATCGTTTGTAGAAATCAATTCTTTTTCACTAGATGAAACGGTGTTTTCATCGAACTAAATCTCAATAAATATATAAATGATGAAAAATGTATATACAGTAAATTCTTCCTAATTGACGCTCATTTAGAAAGAGGAAATATGATTATTCGAGTCTCGGAGCTCGTTTTTATACTTATCGATTATCAACAACTATGAAAACGAGCCACAGGACTCGAATAATCGTATCTGCTCTTCCCAGATTGTCCATTTTTGTGTACAATTTGAGCGTCAGTTAGGGAGAATTTATTGTATTCTTGAATATATATATATATAATATTATTATATAATATATATATTATATTATATAATAATATATATATAATTAATAAACATTAGTTACAACAGCTTAATAAACATTGAGCCATTTTTGTTTAATTTCTGATGGAACTTTCGGTTTATTAGAATCATTATTGATCAATTTTTATAAATAAAAAAATATAATTTATATATATATAATTAATAAACATTAGTTACAACAGCTTAATAAACATTGAGCCATTTTTGTTTAATTTCTGATGGAACTTTCGGTTTATTAGAATCATTATTGATCAATTTTTATAAATAAAAAAATATAATTTATATATATATAATTAATAAACATTAGTTACAACAGCTTAATAAACATTGAGCCATTTTTGTTTAATTTCTGATGGAACTTTTGGTTTATTAGAATCATTATTGATCAATTTTTATAAATAAAAAAATATAATTTATATATATATAATTAATAAACATTAGTTACAACAGCTTAATAAACATTGAGCCATTTTTGTTTAATTTCTGATGGAACTTTCGGTTTATTAGAATCATTATTGATCAATCTTTTATCACCGGATTAGAGATCTTTACGCAAAATAAAAATACTCTTCACTAATTGCAACATGCAGGAAACATAG